CTCTCTCTCTCTCTCTCTCTCTCTCTCTCTCTCTCTCTCTCTCTCTCTCTCTCTCTCTCTCTCTCTCTCTGTCTCTCTGTCTCTCTGTCTCTCCCCCTTCTCTGTTCTCCTCCCCTCCTCTCTCGCCCACGCGAAGATTATGATATCTGAGTCTCATAGGGGAGATCAACTCCGTGAAGTAAAAAGTAAAGAAACTCGATGTAATTAGACTAATCGCGTGTTTCGATAACAAAATAAAAAAAATTTATCCAAACTGATCAGTTTGACTTCCACTTTGGATTTTGCGAAGCTTATTTATTACACTCGCGTATATGGATTTAAATCATATTAGGTTTATTGTGTCGAGACAATCGATATAAATTATGAGGGTAATGAGCAATTTGAACGATATGAAACGAATCAATCATACAAAACGTGCATTCCCTCGCGCTGCGACGAAATTGTTGAAATTGATTGGCAATCAATCGTCATGCAATGAAATATCAAATTCCTCGAATGCTGATACTAATAGTCGAGGATAATTCAAATTATTAAGGTAACGAAATATTGATTTTTTAAATGCGTGAACTATTCGGTCGACTCTACATTTATTTTTGAATATATCGGTTGAAAATTAGTTTTGTTTATCCAAGCAAAATTTTATTCCTCTTCACGAAAAAAACAATTTTGCTGAAGTATTTAAAAATTTAGCCAGACATATAGCTAAAAATAATTTTGTTGGGCTATCAAAATAATTATGTAAAATACTCTGAGTGTTTATTTAAATGTAAAATTCTCTAAAAATTTCTGGATTTCCCAGCTACTTTGTTCAAAATTCTAGGTAAATTAAAATAATTTTTAAATGCAACTTTAAAATAAATTTATTTTATCGTGTGTTTTTTTTAATGTCTTTTAATCATGAATTATTTAATATTTGATTATACAACTTGCAAAATAAAAGCAAAATTGTCGAAAATTTTTGTCGAAAATTGTCCAAAAAAGACAAAATTTAAATTTAAAGATAAAATTTCAAAAAATTTCCTGAGTTACAATAAAATTCTATGATATTTTTTTAATTTTCAAGAATGACAAAAATTCCAAATTTTCCAGACTTTTCCCAGGAGTAGATATTCTGTCAAATTAGTTATAAAAATTAAAAATTTTAAACTTAAATTTTATTTCTCTGGAAAGAACACAAGTTTTATCAGACATCTAAAAATAATTTTGTTGGATCAAAATAATTATACAAAATATGCAAATTGGTTGGTAGAAATCTTTTGCAGTTTTATCATCGTGCTTAAGAGTCTTTCATAATTAGTTTGATGATTTAAAAAATTATTTTTAGATCTATATCTATATCTATATATTTATAGATCCATATCTGGTCAAATTTATAGATATTTCAGCGAAATTATTTTTTCCGTATTAACACCTCACAGTGCTAATTTATTTTAGTGCTTCGCTTATACTTAAATAATCCGACAATTAAATTCCAGTATAATTCGGCTCGCAACAATAACAATACATTATTCAAACGCCGAATAGATAAGTGCTCGTAATAATCTACAAGAGATGCGTCTCGGTATCCACTTAATCATACGAAGGGGAGTTTCCAAATGACGGGACAATATAAAATCATTCGTTCTAACCTTGCGCTCGTTTTCCCCCGCGAAATGTTCCTCCACCAGTCAGAAGGTGACAAAATTTTCTCAGCTTCGAGTCATGATCGAAGGACCTGCGGTGCGCACCGAGGGAGGGTTGAACGGCGACGACGCGAGAGGGTTAATTCGCGGTGGCTTGAGGTAGGGCGCGCACGAGCGGTCGGCAGGTGTCGCCACGTCGCGACGCGAGGCGACGCGGCGTACAGTGACGAGAGGCGACGGGGCGCGAGGGGGGAGCAAGGCGGTACAACCGAAGGGAGGCGGGATGGGACGCGGTGCGCCTCGGCCGGGGAAGACTCAGTCAGGCGATAATAATTCTCACGTGTGTGCAGCTCGTGTCGCGCGTTGTCAAACGACACCGTGACTCCGATTCGCCGGCGCGCGGTGTTCTCCGCGCACGCCGGGCCACCCTATGTAGGTTAAAGACACGCAGTTACGGCGTTGCGCAACGCGGAACGCCCGTGCCAGTCGTACTCTCACGAGTTACTCGAGAAGGGGGGGGCCGTCTCTCTCTCTCTTGCGCGCGCGCGCGTGCGGGCGAATGGGGGAAGTATAATCACGTCGCTTTCTCGCCGCAGGCGAGAGGAGATCCGGCGAGGATGGAGCGCGCGGGCGGATCATGTGGATCTCAGATTTCTCGTGTCGGTGGCGCTCGTTCTACCACGTGCCCGTGAGCGATCCGCGCTCCAGGATGATGCCCCGAAGGCGTAACGTGCGCGCTCGCGCTCTCTCCGTCCTCGTTGCACGCAGACTGGGTGCGCGAGCGAGACGGAGCGAATGCGGGGGAGGCGCGAGAGGCAGAGGGAGAGGAGAGGAGAAGAGAGGAGGGAAGAGGAGAGGAGAGGAGAGGAGGGAAAAGGAGAGGAGAGGAGAGGAGAGGAGAGGAGAGGAGAGGAAAGGAATGGAATGGAATGGAAGAAAAGGAAAGGGAAGGGAAGAGGTATAGAGAAGGAGAAAGAGAAGGAGGACGACGCGTTGGTACAGTCGCGGCCAAAAGCGCGCCGCGTGACATAGATTCGATCGTGGTGGCGATTTTCACGAAAGATCCCGAGCGAACGGTCGATGGTCCGCCGCGCGACCTCGACGGCCGGGTCTCGCGGCCGTCAAACCGGCGGGCGTTCGTCGTCCCGGGCGTCGTGACGCGATGGGCCACGCGCGGTCTCGTCGTAATGCGAATGCGGTCACTGAACTAGTTCTGTTTCGACCCTGACACTGCCATTGCCCCCCTGGGGGGCATCGTACGATCCGTGTCAGATGCACAATATTGCCGCTATATTTCTCACACGCGGTCTCGCATCCTTAAGCGGACTTACCCCTGTCGGAGGACTCCATCGTCGCTCTCCGCACTGACGCTGCGTTGCCGGTCCTGCACGGCCTCCTGGGGCACACGACTGGTATCGCGCGGGCGGGGATCTCGCGCTTCCACGGCGCACGTGGAGATGATAGTCCCGCTCGTGGCTCACGGCGGCTGATCGGTCGGCGCACAGCTCGAAAATTTCTCACTATGGTATAAACATGGCCGGCCCCGCGCGTGCGGCCGCACGGCTCCCTGGCCTGTCACACTCGCGGTGGGGGGGTCGTTGAACCTTATCACGGGTGCAAGACGGCGTCGCGGAAGGGCACCGGCCGCGCGAACTTTTTTTCCGGGCCTGCGGGGAAAAACGGCGTAGCACCGTGGGCTACGGTGGGCGCGACCTAAAAATAGATCACCAATTCGGCGGATTGTTTTGACTAATAATGCGCTTCGCAACCTACTCGCTGGTGGCGCCACTGGGCGGCGAGGCCCACCGGCAGCGCTGCGCCGCCTAACGCTGACAGCCGGCGGCCGATGGTGGCATGTCTAGATGGCGCGCACTTACTATTCTCCATCTTACTTCATTTTGTATATACATCTACACGATTGCATGCACATGATTGCTGTCAAACGCGACGTCGAACCGCCGAAGCCGAAAATCGAATGGTTCTCTTTGTAGTAAACGGCACAACAATTGCGTCCACGTTGCAATGTCCGGGAATGATGTAAAACAAGCCCTCAGGAAAATGGATTTTCCCTACTGCGCCAGGGAAGCTCTATGTAAAATAGGTATGAATGATACAGGTTATCTCGATGATGGTCCATCTCGTGTTTATCTCTACCAAGTAGTATTAACTTTACTTTCAATTTAACTTGTTTTTTTATCTTCTTTTAATTTTATGAAGTAGAAAAAAGATAAAGGGTAAATTAAACCGAGATTAACATGCATCGAAATGAACATTAGCTATGTTCTACAACTGAAATACATAGATGTATTTCACTGCTTGATTATGCGATTAAAAAATCTTTAAATATTTAAATTATATCTAAATATCACGATCTTTTTTCTCTTAAAACAATTGTTAAATTTTATTTATTGCTTGTTCAAGAGGTACTCTGCTGCAGGCCTGGCAAGCAAGTAGATCTACAAATGGACTTGATATCGGAGTTTGTCTTTGGAGAAATAGAAAGGCGGAAGAAACGCAACATGACCATGGCAATACAAGAGCTGCAACTGATTGAGATCATGAGTGACTTCTTCCAAAGTCCAGGTGGTAGTCCTGCGGTACGCAATGCTCTCTTCTTATCGCTCTTCCCAGCGGACAGTCCCAGGTATAAGACCCTAGGTAACCTGGTATCATTGGCAATCGCTACGGAAAACAAAGCAGTTCTAAATGCTGCTGGAATTTGGATGCAGCAGTTGGGCTCTACCTCACCACAGAGCGTGGGACTGGCAAGACACGTGCTCAATGACTACTTAGTGCTTACTCCGAAATCCATTGATAAATTAAAACAACTGCCCGTATTAGCGCCACATTTCACTGCCAATCTACTGACAGCAATAGGTGAAGTTTACGAAGATAAAGATCCACCTACTGAATTGCTCAGATTAGTAGGCGAGTGGATAGACGAAAATGCGGGTTTATTATTGACACCACTCATGGACAATCCAGCGTTACCTACTGGCGGTATCCCGATGACTCCGATAACGCCGATAGCAGGACTGTTCAGGTTATTTCCCGTTAGCATAACATTGCCCAAAATAACTGAAAGTATCATAAAGTGCAATATTCTTTCATTTGCAGATGGTGTATATTGAGTCCTTTACGTCATGACATCATGGAAAATACAGAGATTCAAGAAGAGTCGCAAAAATTTTATTCAAAAGTTCAACAGTTACTCATGGATTCAGTCCTTCGATTAAATAACAGCGGTAGCAATAAGCACGCGATCTCGGCGCAACATTTGGCATCTACTACGCGTTTATTGACGGCAAACCTACAAAATCGTCCGAACATTGATGCGACCTCGCGCGATCTAGCAATGGAACGACTTGCGCAAGCTGTTAGTGCGGCTATGTCTGCAAACTGTATTTATGGAAACAAACGTATGTATCTCTACTTGTACATATTTATAAAATAACACTATATTCTATATAAAACATTCTCGATGTTTACAGAGGAATTGTTAGCTCTTCTGCAACCACTGTCGTATCAACACTTTTTGATAGAATGGACATTGCAAACTTATGCAATTAAAGCAGCTTGAGACAAGGACATTGTGGCAACAATGACGAGAATGACAATATAATTTGTTGATCGTCGATATTCTAGCTCATTCATTTATCATTATTTGTACATAATAAAAAAATACATCCATGAAATAACTATACATCTATTTTATAAAAAATTAAATAAACCTAATAACAGTTTTCAATAGTTTTAATAATTATATATTAATTCACATGACTGACATACCTAAAATGGCTTAAATGTCCGTTTCTGTTTTAATTCCTGCAGTCTCTTTTTGTCTAGTTCAAATTTTTTTCGTAACTCCGCCAGATCTACAAGCAAAATCACATATATCATACAAGCATGATTATGAAAAAAAGAATTGTATCATGAAGAATCTTTTAATGCAGAATTAAACTTACTTTGCTTTTTAGTTTCACGAATTTGAAATGTATAGAAATTAAGTAATTGCTTTTTCTTTTTGCGTTGCTCCTCTTTCTGTTGTACTTTGCCAATGGTCGATTCCTTTCTGGATGGAGCAAATTGTCCTCTTTTCTTTCCACTTGTTACAGTCACCCAACCTTCATCATCTTCTTTTGCAGCTTTCTCTTGCGCGATTCGATCCTTTACTTGTTTGTCATAGGAAGCCACATATTCCTCTATCTCCTTTTTTAACAATTGTTCATCGCATAAGGCATCATTATATTCCTTACACCATTCTGTTTAGATAATTAAAAACAAACTGTGACGAACAAAATAAAAGTGGACTGGTAGAAAGAAATCATTTCTATGAATGTGACTTACTTTCCAGTCCTGTGCAGCATACATTTTCGTTATTGTTCAATGTAATTACACAATCCTTCGAGAGCTCCATTGCCTTGTCCAAGGAAGATTCCTTCTTGAAAACGACATATGCATTTTTGAAACCTTTTGCATTTGAAAATGTAACTGATCGTACACTTCCACAGAGTTTAGCAAATTCATGTTTTAGGCAGTCGACGGTTGCATACGGCGGTACATTCAATACAAAGAGGGTTTGATTCTTAGGATATTCAGGCTCCTGATTTCTCACGGAGTGCTCCTTGAAGAATAGCTGGTGCTTGTCGGAGCTATCCGCGTCGAAGCGAATCCACAACGCTGTAATTCAAAATAATTACGTTGAAATGTAATTCAGAATATAAGCATTTTTATAGATTATGCAGCAATGACTTACTTTTAAAGCCTCTTGCATTTTGTTTGTTGATTTTCGCGACCATGTCTGGATCCTAACCTCACTACACGAATAAACACGTGAATCCGATCCACATGTAACTGGAAACTAAAAATGAAAGCACAGTATTCTTCATTACCACTTGTCGATTATCAATTAACCCAGAGAGAAGTATGAAAGCGGCCACCATGGATCTTTTTCATGGGACCGTCGACCACTAGCGCCAAGCTCTATTTAAGCATCTTAGAATTAATTAGCCACTTCTATTTTCTGACAATGCCGATAAAATATCATTTTGGTTGGTGTCCGTGCTAATCTGCGGAATATTATGAAAAAGTTTTTAAAATATTACTGCGATCAAAAATTTATGTTCGTGGGGTTCATGTGGATGTTATTAAAATATCAATTTAAAATGATATTGTAAATTACTATACTATACTATATTCGCAAAATTTTATTTAACATTTTATTTAATATTTATTTATTATTAATTTTTATCATATCATATCAGTGCTGTAGACGGTGCGCAAACGTACATTTTTCAATTTTAACTTAGTTTATTAATAAAACGGTCCAACATTTCGTTACAATTGGGTATTTTTTTTGTCTTTTATTGTGAACCATTTAATGAGTGACCATGATTACTCTTTCTTTTTATGTAAAAGAAAAGGAATATATATATATATATATTCCTTTATATATATATTTATATATATATATATATATATATATATATATATATATATATAT